ACAGTTTGACCCTCCCATCTTTGTAAGAACCTCTCAAATATTGGAACAGTGCTATCATGTTACCTCTAGTCCTTTTCATAAGACTAGACATATCCAATTCCTATAACAGTTTTTTGTATATTTTAGCTCCCTAATCATTTTTGTTGCTATTCTCTGCATTTTTTCTAGAGTCTCAATATCTCCTTTGTATTGTGGTGACCAGAACTGGATGCAGTATTCCAAGTGTGGTCTTAGTAAGGCTTTGTAAAGTAGTATTTGATTGTATCCCTCTACTAATGCCTCCTACGATTGCATTGGCATTTTAGGTGCTGCTGCACACTGTTGGTTCATATTTAAGCAATTGTTCACTAGGACTCAAAGATCCCTTTCACAATTACTGGCATAAGCCAAGTTTCACCAAGTTTTAACTCTACTTACACAGTTGATTTTGTTTGCCAACTGTTGGTTAAATATCAAAGATATTCAAACTGTTAGTTTGAATATCTTTCAGTTTCTTAATACATATTCAGAAAACGTTATATAGCTTAAAGATGTGAATGCAGTTTTTAATTACATACCCCAAAGTGGGAATTTATCTTCAAATAGCTAGTATAAGGTATATTAAAAAGTTTGTTCTTTTTTTGTGTGCTTGAAGGCATTCAAAATTTACAGTGCAATTTACAAAATAATGACAACTGGGATTTACAATATTGAATTGATATATATTTGCTCTTTGTTTATGAACAAGATCTTTATCAATATAATAGAAAGACTGATCAATATTGTTTCATGTAGTTAATGTTTAATGTTTTTCTCCATGTATTGAAATATATTTATGTTTATTTTCTGTTCATTTTTCTCTTTGTATCTTTTTTCCTTCTTTGTCTTTGTATGGCAATAAAAAGTGTGCAGAGACACATTTTCTACCTACAAATGTGTCAGTTCCTTAAAGTGCTATTTCTAGTGATGGAAGTGACAGCTTTTCCCCTAGAGAGAAAGAGCCTCATAGTCATTCTTTTCTACATATGTATTAATCTGAATCCCAGATAGAAATCCATTTGACTTGGGATTTCATCATTTTATTTATCCTCACATTAAAAAAATATGTCCATCTTTCCATTGTTACTTTTAGAAATACTGTGGTTACATGGACCTTGCATATATTCCTTCTTTATAACTTGTTAACCTTTTATTAATGTGCTCACTCATTTGTAAATTGTACATGCTCAGATACATATTTTTATACTTTTTTAAACACACACATAAACACACACACTCTCAGAAAGAGGAAAATTTACATTGTCTCTTCTAGAAACATCTTTATTTTCATATATACACACAAAATACGTATATTGTGTTCGTCTGAACGCAACAGAACACAATACAGAATAACTTCGAAAGCACAACTATAATGACGTGGGAAAATATCCGAACAAAGCTGAATGCCAGATGAACACTATACAGAAGCCTGATGATGACAGATGAGATTCTGCCGAAACGTTGCTACAACTTTAAAAGCACAACTACAATGACGTGGGAAAATACCTGAACAAAGCTGAATGCCATACATGTAAGTACCCACGAAAACTTAAGAAAATATAGATACATACATATATATATATATATATTTCTTAAGTTTTCGTGGGTATTTATATGTATGGTATTCAGCTTTGCTCAGGTATTTTCCCACGTCATTATAGTTGTGCTTTTAAAGTTGTAGCAACGTTTCGGCAGAATCTCATCTGCCATCATCAGGCTTCTGTATTGTGTTTGTCTGTGAGTTAGACTTTTACAGTTGTTTCAGTTTTAAATTTGGGACTAGCCTACTGCTGTGTCAGAATGGTTTTTTTCTACATCCTGATTGGTTGGGAGTCTTGGTCTGTGTTTATTGGTCTTGGAGTTTGCTGTGTTCTGCTTGATTGGTGTTTCTAATATCTTCTATCTGTTTTGTGGCTTTTTTTGTCTTGATTGGCTGGCAACATTGTGTCCCTGTATTGGAGGCTTTTAATGCAGCTTGGCTCCAAGTAAATGGACGGCTATCATTTGTTGCCAAGCTGCACTCACTCTGGACAAGCTGTCCATTCACTCTGAGAAGCACAGAGCCGAAGACACAAGCCTGAAGATGATGAATGAGATTTCATCGAAACGTTGCCTAGATACTGCCAATCTTACGTGGGAGAAAACCCGAATAACCAAAGATCCATAGATATAGATATAGATAGATATAGATATAGATATAGATATAGATATAGATATAGAATGTTAAATAAGCTATCCTTAAACCATTTTAATCCCTCTGATCACTGGGCACACCAACCACCGTACATATTAAGATGTTTTAGGTTCAACAACTCTACACAAATGTCTCTTTTATGTACTATTTGAGCCCAGTGTCAGCTCACTAAGATCCATAGTTGATTATACTGCTTTCAAATGGAATAAATAAGAAGGAATCTATGTCCGAAGGCTTTGGTATCCATTAAATATCTGCATTATTGCTAGGAAATGTCTTTCTGGCAGTTCAAAGGTCAAATCAGAATAGGAAATGGAACAGAATTATTTAATTGCAGTGACCAATATTAATCCACAGCCTTCCATGTATTGGTCCTATTCTTGTTTTATTTGTATAATACCAGTGTACTTTTGAAAATCACACAAGGTCAGTTTTGCTCTTGGATCATATCATTACAAAACCATGGCAAAACCACTGATTCTTCGGCAGTAATCCAACAGATCTTTTGCTTTGAAGTATACCAATTCCAACTTAGTTTATTATGACCCACAGTGGCACAGTGGTTAGAGTGCAGTACTGCAGGCTACTTCTGCTGACTGCTGGCTGCCTTCAATTTACAGTTAAAAATCTCACCAGGTTCAAGGTTGACTCAGCCTTCCATCCTTCCAAGGCAGGTAAAATGAGGATCCAAATTGTTGGGGCAATGTGCTGACTCTGTAAATGCTTAGAGAGAGCTTTAAAGCACTGGAAAGCAGTACATAAGTCTAAGTGCTATTGCTATCGCTATTTTGTTCAGCCTGATACTAATTCTTATGGGTAAGTTTCTGTATCATTTATTCTTGTTTGGACTGTGTTCATATCTCCTTTTCCAGCTTTCACTCACATATCACATAGAACATGCAAGTCACAATGTATAACAATTGTTTTAATTGTTCTTTTTTAATTCATTTATATCCTGCTCCAATCGAAAAGATTCCTGGTGGCTTATGTAAAATAAATGGTACAATTAATATATGTACGGTATAATCTTCAAAATCCGACTGGCATAAATAGGAACAAATTAAACAACTCTAAACCAAAAACAAAATCACATAGAAAGAAAGATCACAGCAAAATCAGATTATCAGCTAAGAGCCAGTTTACTTCATGATTCAATTACCAAATACATGCATAAAGAAAAATCAGATTTATATTCCTGAATGTCCTTCCTAATTGTTCCTAATCAAGAGTCATTGAAATAATAAAGTCTCTCAGGAAATTATCCCTGGGTACAAATGTAAAAAGAGGCTCCTTTTTTCCATCCCACTGAGCTGAAAGTTGGGAAATTACTAAGAGGTAGGACATGTTATTGGAGAGAAGTTGAATGTAGAACTGGATAGAGAGTTAAATTAACCAATTATTTTTATTTCCTCTTTTACCCTATTCAACAGAACTAAGTGTGATAGTCTGATCAGCAATTTTCAATAAATCTGAATCTGGACATAATGACAATTATACTTCTGTTTGGAAGGAACATATTGAAGCAATTATTTTTCTTCTGATCTCCTGAATATTATCTGAAGATAATATTTCCTGAATATTATCTTCAGATAATATTCAGTAATACTTTCATCAGATTTAACATTTTGCTCATTAGCCTATCCATAGCTGATTATACTGCTTTTATCCCCATCTTTGATACAACAGTGCTGGCTTGAATGGGTTTGTTATCATGCTGATATGATTTTTTTTTCATTAGACAAGTTTTTAAATAAATATATTATGCTAGCATGACTTTTCATTAAGGGTCATTAGTAGACACGCAGAAAAAAAAATAGAGGCATAGTTTGATGTAGTGGTTAAAGCATTAAGCTAGAACCTGAAAGATAATGAGTTCTAGTCCCACCTTGGCATAAAGTCAGTTGGGTAACCTGACTTTGTTTCAGCCTTGTGAGAAAGGCAATGGCAAATGACTTCTGAAAACCTTTGCAAGGAAACCTATAGAGAATTGGAAGTCTCCAAGAATATGACATGACTGATTAGAAGGAAGGAAAAAGAGAATAGTTCTATGCCTGTGTTTTGCTCAAACTTGAATTCTTTTTCATGTTTGATGAAGCTGAATCTGTCCTTTCATTTGTGGATTTACAATAGTCCAGTTACCATCCTTATATAATGGAGTTACAGTTCAGATTTGATTCCTGAAAAGCATTTTGCAGTTTATGGAGATGCAAACATAGTATCTGTTGCTACTCTTTCCTGGAATTTAAAGAAAGGATATAGGTTATTTAAAGGAATCACAAACAAGTGCTCTGAAGCACTTTGTTTTGTATAGAATTTGAAACTTTGTGCAGCCTTGAATGAGTATTTTGAAAGAGTCATCTCATTTAAATTGGAATAATTCTTCAAACTTTCTATAAAAGAAAGAAATGAATACTGAATAATTTTGTTGAAGATAGTTTTCTTTTGAGAACAGATTTCATTGCTTCATGTGGATTGTATCCTGTACATTTTGTTTGTAGCATGTTCACACAGTTCATAAACATCAAGGAAGGTTAGTTAACTTTCTAAGGAGGGAGAAAGGGAGGGAGGGAGGAAGGAAGAGAGAAAAAAATATCTCTGTGTTCATCATTTGTGATTTTATGATATGCTTTAAAATAGCTTTAGCTGCATGGTTTAGTTTTGCACAATTATTTTGTCTTCTCATTATCCTGGAATAGGAATATGACATTGCAATAAGATAGAGTTTGAGATTGTATATGTAAAGAAAGATGTATAGACGTCCTCCAAGGTCCCTTCTTACTCTATTGTTCTGTTGTACAGGTGGAATATACACAGATGTATATTGTACATATTCAAACATATATTGATACATGCATGCACACAATACACTCTATGATTGCAAACAAATATGAAACTGAACCATTTTGAAACCATGGTTTGTTGACTAAAAACTTAGATCGAATGCAATATATAGCCACAATGGTTGACTTCACACATCACACTGAAATTCACTGCAGTTAAGAAGTTGGAGTAGTATTAGGGCAATTTTGATTCAAGACTTCTGCCAGTCATGGAAGTTCTTTACATAACTGTAAGACAGCCATTTCCCCTTAGCTCAGCTGTCTTTATAGAGTAGTTGTGGGGAAAATCTGGAACAGCATCTTAAATATACCACTTTAAAGATCTGAAAGGATAGCACATTATCAATGTAACAAACCAGTAAACCCAAACTAAAGCCACATTATGGATTTTTTTGTCCACAATGCAATACCACACTCTACTGATTTAATATTTAAAGCATCCTTGAAAATCAAGTTGATTAAAGTTGTTTCAAAGAAAATTGCAGGTCAAGAAGTAGAAAACTTACAAATTGTTTGAAAAAAATAAATATTATGTAAGCAGGACATGCACTTGTTTTCTAACCAGCTGGATTAATGTGCAACATTTATTCCATATTTGCATTTTCTATAATATTTCTTGATGGTGTTAATGAAAATTATATTTCCTATTCCAAGGACAAATACCTCCCAGTAGTACATGTGCTTTACAATGACAAATGTCAACTTCATGTAAAGCTAGAAAAATAAGTAATATTGGATGCAATCTATTTGTTGGATTTGCTAAGTATAAATTGCATTTATTGTCTTGAAATATGTATTCATCAAAATGCTCACTCAAAAGTAGTAATATCTGACAGTGATGTTTACTATTTGGTACCAGGAGTGGCCTCAGGCAGACAGAATTCTGCCTGCATTTTATTACATCCTTGGTCTTGGCTCCTATATTCAGATGTTTTTTTTCTTTATTTTTAGAAAATAGAATTCTGCTTCTTTTCCAAATTCTCCATAGTTCTGTATTCTGATTATGAGTTCATTGCTTGCCAAGAATCTTCCCTACAGATATCTGCTCTTGAGAACTGTTCTGTGTATGGCACTGACCCAGAAGCACATTGTTCTTGCTTTACAGGTAATAGCAAATTTCATTCTGAATTGAGATGTCCCTACTGAACCAAAGACTTCAGATGCAACTGGATGAGCATAACAATAACCAAAAATTTAAGAAGCTCATAGATTTTTGAGTCACAGTTTTAGAATCCAGCAAATTTGACAGTTGGATGGGACATTGTTTTGCTTTGGTTACTTACCAAACAGAAAAATATTCTGAATAGTAAGCACCCATGAATTAACCTTGATGAGCTTTCATAATTAAAATATAATTTCACTTCCACACCCCCAAAGAAGTCCAACTTAAATGGCCATATTCCCAGCAAACTTGTATGCATCGTGTATCAAGCCTTTTTAAAATTTATAAGAGCTTGATGAAAGTTCACATATTTTTTCCCCAGTGGAATTACAAATTATGAATGTAGAAGATAAAATATTCAGATGCAAGATTTAAATATTAATTTTGCATTGGAATGCTTTGGCAGCTGTGAATATGGTAGGCTGAATTATCTGAAAAAGAGACAAGTTGATGTAGAGATCTGACTGGGATATAAAGACCTGCAGCTTATTCTGAGGGGACAATGGTTGTTAAAATGACAAGCTCATCCCTATGAGACAGGATAGTTTCAGCAAAGTTTACAGATACCCTGTTGGCTTGTCTGAAGAACAGCTATGACACTGGCTCAGATAAGACTTGGCAGAATTCCCTATGTGGATAAGTATAAGGGAATAGGTGCAGTGATTAGTGGCTATTGAGCATGTGGATAAAAAAAGGCTGAAATGTATTACTGTAAATTTGATGTTTTCTTCGGTAGTAAATAGACAGCTAATGTATTTATGAAATAATTACAAGGACAACATCTGTGAATGTACTTTTTTGTCACTGAGCAAATGCAATTTATATTTTTGAACTTAGCTACTATATTTATTTGATAGCTGTGTATTTCTAGTGGTCTACAAATGCAAAAATGGTGATACATCCCTTGCTTAACTACCAATTGTTCCATGATGGTTCAAAGTTACAATGGTGCTAAACAAATGGTAGTTATGACCAGTCCTTGAAATTACTGCCATTGTACTATTCCTGCAGTCACTTGATCAAATTTCAGGTGCTTAGCAACCCTCCCACATTTACAACTGCATCATATGCTTCAACTCTCCCCATTTGCTTATTTCCTCCCATTTCTGCCCTTTTGGTTGCACTTGCTACTGTCTGACCCATCCACGCCCTCTGGTTGACCTTTGTCTGTTTTGTGAGACAATTGCTGGCCCTGTATAAGGTATAATGAAGACCTTTCAAACCAGCTGCCTTGCAGCTTGGCTTGTCCGCAAGCAGAAGGAGAAGGTCAGGGAATGGATTGACTCAACCAAAAGGTCTACATATTTAAAGAGTGGACATCTCTTGATATGAGGACCTGAAACCATATTATGTGATATAAAAAATGTTTCATCACGAGTTTTTAAAAGTATGTATTATTTCCTACCATAGTTCTGCCTACACTGAAGTAGATGGCTATTTCATGAAGATATATTCTCCAACTTGTGGCAATTAGCAATAAAGAGACAATACACTCTTTAATATAAATTCCCCAAGCAGCAACTGCCTCGCATACAAATATTTGTTTTTTATAAAGAAAAAGATACATAATGCACAAGTGATTCTATTCCATTTAAATAATTACTGTTGGGAAGAATTGTTTCATTACAACATATAATTTGTGTTCACTTTATACATGTGCCTTTATTTTTTCACACATACAGCCAATTTTGGTTAACTAATATTTTCAGTCTTATATAAAAGTTCTGCTTTCCAGTGCTTCTCAAAACAAAACTGAATGTCACAGCTTGCTTTATTTTGTTGTTTTCAAATATTACAACTATTTAAAAAAACAATAGCAAAAAAAACCTTAATAGGTCCATTCAATTAAACAAAATTATATACTATATAGGAATTAATTAGGGGAGTACTTTTAAATTTCAAATTATCCATGTAAAATTTCAAAGTTAACACCCATGCACACATCAACTACATCACCCCAGAAATATTGGTAACATGGCCATATGGAAATCTACCTGGGTAAAAAATATCATCCTAGCGCAATCCTGTAAACTTCTTAGATCATAGTTCCAACAGGAAACTGGAATTTCTCTGGCTGGAAAAAGACTGAAGTGGGTAATAGTAGTAGCAATAAGACAACAAAAAAAGTTATTCAGACTGTTCTAGAGTTAACTACTTATTGACAAGAGTGCCTGGGGATAATTCTTAGTTCCTAATAATTGTGATTCTTTTTGAGCATCCCCATGGAAAGCAAAGATCAACTTCTAGAAGAGCTAACTAGAAACAAATCAACAGAATGAGCAAAAAGCTTGTCACATTATAATTGAATTTATCATTTAGAAAGAAATGGAGATATTCCAGAAGTTTGAGTATGACCCCTATTAGCCTTGATCATGTTGGCTGGAATGGATAAGAGTCACTGCAACTGCTGGCAAAGTCATAGGGTCCAAATTCTGATATAGAAAAGACTGCATTACTTTCATCTGGTAGAGGCCACCCAAATGAACAATTGTGAGTAACATGTTGTCTTTTTATTTGGGGAATGGAAAAAAAAAGAATAACAACATGTTACTTTGTCTAAAGTTTCTCAGTCTTGGTTTCAGAGAATGCCAAAAGTGCATTGTCCCTGGTTGAATATTCCTAATTGAGAGAAAGTCTGGCATAGGATTCCATAATGGTTGCTTTTGGGAGATTAAAGGGATCATCGGTCTTTTAACAGTATATTTATCCTTATTTGGGTGGTCAATGCGGATCCTGATTTTAAATTGTAGCTTGTTAAAGGAGAGTAAGTTAGCAAGTAAGTTAGTAATATGAGATTGGTTGTACTGCCAAGTTCTTTATATTGAGTAATGTCTGGTTACTAAAGTTGAACACTTGTATTCATATGTAGGAAGATCCAATTGAATGTAATCAGGCAACATTCTTACTAATTAGAAAATGAAAATCTCCAATATTTGTGGCTATTTCCACAAAAAACTTAAATGTGCAGTATATGTCTCTGTTATCAGCATATTTTATCAGGTTTTTAACCATTTTTTCCAGAGTAGCTGACACTGATAGCAGAAATGTTAGAAATCAAGGATTTAAAAAGAGCCTGTGGATATCCAACCAAATCTACTCCCATATGAATAAATGAATGTGTGTGTGTGTACATCCATCCATCCATCCATCTATTTATCCATCTATCTAATACCAATAATATTATATTGGGTTTGCTTTTGACTTTTGGGAATTTCACAAGACTTAAAAGAATTGTTACATAAATACCATATGTAAGAAACATTATTTTCCCTTTATGTAGGTTTTTTGTCTTAGACTAGATTGCATTTACCGTCTTATTGCTTGCTTTATAAAAAGGTTTTTGATGCAGGGGAAAACTCAGCTTTGATTTAATAATCATAGAAGTCATGTAATAGAAAGTCAAACATTTTTAAAAATGTTGAAGCCTGCACTTATCATTGGAAGGGAGAATGGCTGGTTGGATGGATGTGTATACATATCCACCTTTTCACCGGTAAGTGTAGGCTTCAAATATAGTTGGAAAGTTTTTCAATTAAATTTCTAATATGATTTTAAAAGTCCAACAGCTGTGAGTAATTACAACACAAGCATCTGAATCCATGTGCAAACAGATTGATGCAGCAATCCTCTTGCTAACTCTTTGCTTCAATAATTAAACATATGTTAGCAGGATGCTTAGTCTTTTCTGTACAGTATTTCCCCTTAATTATTATTTGGATGTTTATAATAATTGGTGACAGCTTTAAAGTATTAATGATATAAATTGAAGTTTTTCTTACTTTGGCATTCATAATTCA